CACAAAAGCTCGAAAATGATAGATTGTGCTTCTCTTGAGGTTCAGTGGCCCGACATTCTCCAGTTTTACTTACTTCAATATTCTGATTATTTTGTGGTTATATAGTGTGTTTACCTTTGTGGATTTCAGACCACCGATACGCCTTTTCATGACATTTCCACCTACAGTCGACCGGTTCGCTGGTTGGCTCTAGCAGTTGTAGAGGTGTTTACTGCCTGCAAAGATCCTCCATTTTCAATAAGTAGACGGTTTAATAATAATCACTACTTCTTCCATTCAAAAGCCATCTGTTAAATGTCATCTCCTGATCCCTTCTCATTGGGGCAGGAAAACCACCACACAGTAGATATTGTCATCTGTTGGTCAACTCCTATGCTTCATCGGTTAGATAATTGCTATGGGAGGCTATTTAAGAGAGAATTTTGGAGAAGGAGATCATTTAGTTATTTTGCCCCCTCTCAAGCACATTACGGCCACAGTGCTGCGCATTTTCTACTCTACTCTTAGTAATTGTTCAAATGGCAGGAGAAGGGAAGAGAATTTACCCTACATTACAAGAAACTGTGGTGATCGGGAAGCATGATGCTGACACACGAGGAGTACTTGGTAAGCTGATGACAAGCTGCTGTAATTGGCTATGAATCATGGGGGTTGATTGTCAACAATCTTTGCTACAGTTCCATTTTTTCCCAACAACGTTTACCTGCTTTGTCATTGAAGCATTTTGTCGTCACCATGTCCACAGCAGCTTGCTGTTGTGTTATTCTTTCCTTGTCAGATGCTACCGCGAAACTCCCTTAACTTGGTCAGAATTCTTTTCCAAAGCATCCTTAAATTTGGGTATTTGGGAGATCTCTGTGCTCATTACTGGTTCGTTAACAAAGTTCAGCAGTCATATTTAATTAATTTTGGAGGTAATTCTGGAGATTGAGAAAGAGACCTGCTTTAAGGCCTTATCTTACTCCGTTTGAATGAACAAAAGCTGTACTTCGCTTACAAGTGAATTCCAAGCTTCGGTAGTCTGCACAGCTTAGACTTGCACAAGATGAGTTCATTCCTACGAATATGCATTTCAAGAGGGTAAATGGTCAACTACCACTATTACCACTCCTGACGCTTCAGAATGTATTAGTGATGTCGCCTTTTGAGTTATCATAGGACTGAAATATGTCTATTACCACCACTCTTGATAGCCTAACGACTTGATTTGAATGAGCAAAATTGCAACCATCTGGTCTCATGATCACTCCTTCATTTAAAATTTTAACTTTTGAGTCATTACTTACAACGAATTTCATTGGGAATAAGGCTAACTCCGAAGTAAATTGTGCTTGAATGGTGAGATAAGCCAACTGCAACTTCGCATGCTCCTACTGGAAATCGTTTCCTCAAAATAGGGTAATTTGAGCAATGAAGGAACTACACCCTGTCTTATTGCCTCCCTTTATCTCTGTGGTAACTTTCTTACCAAAGTCTTTTGGAGCATTACCTACTGCTTTTGTCTGGAATGTTGCTCTGTCCAAGTTACAAACTGCGCGCCCTCCTATATTAGTGTTAATTGCAAAATCTTTTCTGCAAAAAAATCAACCCCCACGTTACTAACGGTAAGACTGGAATGGAGAGGTAGATGAAGAGAGTGACAGCATTATTTATTTGGTTACATCACTTATTACTGGTAAGAGGATTAAGAAATTACTTCATCAATAAACCTTCCATAAGTGAAGGAAGTGTTTGCGGATGGGGGGATAAATTACAACGATCCACACAAAAGTGGTGCATGCAAAATTATCAGATATTCTACTGTTCCACCACTAAAATATGGCACCATCTACCTTCTATTCTTGCAAATATTTCTTCTCGTTTATTGTTTCCTAATCAAATTTTTTGATGTAGCAAACGCCTCCGACGCATAAATCACACCATAGGGAAGTTAACATTGCAATTATGGGCCGAGAGATGACCTTAGGTCTAGACCAACAGCAAAGCGAAGAGACGTTGCACTTTGAGCGCGCTTTCGCTTCATTATACAGGTACAAGTAGTTTAGACATTAGTACAAAATGGGAAAATCAGCGGGTAGTCCTAAACAGTTCACTTCAAACTACAGACCCTTGTAAGTAACCGAACCCTGGAGGATATAAAATCGTGGGATAAGTGGTCAAATATGAAGGGACTCTTATTTTCGCGTGACATGGGCATAGAGGCATGAGATGAGGTCCACTGGTTCATAAAAACGAACACTTCACCTAGATTTGGCCCCACTAAGGCGTTAAGGGCACTTGCAGTAGGTTAGGGACTTAAAAACGATGGATGAGCTCTTGCTGTGTAATTAGTATTTACTAAGGTGCTGTCTCTCGTAAGGGAACCTGCAGTACTTCACGAGAATTAGCACACATTATAAGTCCCTTGACACAAAACTCTAGCTGCCTTGGCGAATTTAGGGGAACCGTGTGATACCACTACCTGTGCTACAAGCCTTAATGCCAGTTTTAATGTTGACGGTAACAATTCTCCCTCTCTAGACCATCTTTGCGCCATCTTACCATCCATAAAATGTGATAATCCTGCTATCATTTTGGAAAAGAGGAACACTCTGATTGTATTTCTAAGTTTAATTAAACCAATGACCATTAGCGCAGGTTTGGCTTGTTAAAATGGTTATGGTAAAGACACCAAATAAGTAGTGCCTTTTACCACAGCCATGAAGTAGTAAAGTTTAACATCCCTAAATCCATAATTAGGAAAGTTATATCACGTCCATCCGAAATGGAAGCTTATAGTGAGTTACGGGATGACAATTACCTGAGTGGCTCATATTTGACGTCGATGAGGTAAACTTCTATATCATGCAAAGGCTATAAGCTGCAAATGAATGAATGATTGGAATAAATTAGTAGATTGAAATGTTATTTGACATCGTTAGGTCTGGTAACAACAGTTAAATACAAATCTGCTAGATACTAGCCTCTATATTTACTTAATATTTTACATCACGGCTTTGAAGTTTTGCAATCTTTTTCAAACAATCGTTAAAAGTAAGTAAAGTACCCTATTATTTGGCCCTGTTGTACAATCACACGTAAATGACATCTTAAATTCTGCCTTAATTATCTACTGAGAAAGATTTTTAAGCTCTGGAATTATACATAGGAAAAATCAACAGCTTTAATGACCTTTCATAGCAGGGATCTAACACAAGTTGAAATGGATAACAAATTACTTTGCTAAAAAATTCACACCCTACTCACATTTTGTCAAGATAACAACTTACAGACATTCACATTTGGTCATTGGTAGCAAGAAGTCAATAAATCCCAGAGATATCCCAAGAAACTCAAATAATCCCATCCACGTTTACTTTAACGGACCATGGGGATGGTAAGTCGAATAGCGAGTGTAAAACTAAACAGCCAAGTAAGGTGATTCTATCCATCATCTATATCTAATTCTCTTCAGCAGTAGCTCCGTAAATCTAAGTAATCCTGAAAACCTGGACCTAACATCAACGGGAACGAAATAACTCCGCTTAAATTTACCTTATCAACGTTACATGCTACTCTGGGTATCGCCTGCGATTTCCCCCACAATTGAGTTATTTGTAGTCAGCAACCCTCTGATAGAGTAAGTAGCTGGAAGCACATACTGCATCCTTCATCAGTAAGCATATCGCATTGTCACCATGACTCCGGCAACGTTTTCTTCATTACATCACAGTGACAATGTAATTATCTGGTGGCTGTCAGGCTGGTCTCCTGCCACCTAGGCAGTAGCTTCATTTGCAAACAGGTGTTTCAACTTCACGCGCCGAGGGGCAGTCTAAGCAGCACTAACTGCACGTTGTTAAAAAGCGTACAATCCGCTCCAAATTTTCCACTTTTTATTACTTCACTTGATTTACTTTAACAGGAAGTGTAGTAAAGTTTTAGGAACATTATGTCATCCACGAGGTAGCAAAGACACAGAGATCTTTCTCAAGATACCACAATTTAGCTCTAACTATTTTCAGTTTTTCATACTTTAAAGTGCAGTATTCGCCTCATAACAATTTGGATGTGAATGGTACAGAGAAACGAAGCATTTGAAGAGTTTAACAAATAGGTCACTAAATTTGTTTAAACAGTAGGTGTACAGCAGCCCAGTAAAGGTATTAGAGGACAGTTTACATAAATAAATACCTCGGACCCCGGACCCATCCTCTAAACCTTGATAATTAAAGGTCATCTTCCAAGCAGGTCACTCATCGCAGAGTCAGGAGTATTTTGGTGCACCGATGCGGCTTTCCTTTGTTTCTCTCACCTATTTGAATACTTTCCCAGATTTGTCTGGTGATGTACACTTTTTCATACTCCCACCATATTTTGATTTAGGAAACATAAATCTCAAGTCTTAATGGATGTAATTGCCTAGGTAGGACGCAAGTCTTAAGCCCACTACACAACCGTCCCCTCCCCCTTTGCAACTGATTCCATTTGCGGCAGGCTTCAACGGACCAGCTCACAGCCCACGCGCCTGTTGGGGGCAGCAGAGGCAGGTGCCCCATTGGTCGCCTCATAATAAGACTGCTCATCAGCAAATGTTGCATACAATTGGAGGTACCATGCCATTTATCTGTCATTTTAATTATATAACGATGATACGCTTCAAAATACAACTAGGGCCTGGATTGGCTAGAGATTTGGTAACAAAATTTTGAAAACTTGGAAACTGCATTTTGGAAGTAATTTGGACGACAAATTTTCAGGGCTATCTTAGTTGTTAGCTGTGATTAATTCTGTTTAAGCAGCTATGTTCTAAAATTGAATTATGGATGTATTTAGAGAGAGCAAATAGGAGAGAGTTGGTAGAAGTTGCTTAATTTTAAATAAAGTTGACAACTGCAACAGATTATTTGTTCAAATTGCCTCTCTTAATCTTGCCAAACTTAGTTTCCACCTGTCTTACCTCTATTGATTTAGCTTTTCTTTTAGTTCTCCAGGTTCAAACTTATAGACAGTATAGGGCATCACAGAGAAGGTAAATTCTTCAAGCTTATTGCCCTCATTTGTCCTGAGGGAGATTGTGGTTTGGCTAGTGATGCTAATGCATCCTCAAGTTCTTGATTTATCTACGCATAAAAGACACAATTACTAATGAAGCACATCTATTGACAAAATTAGTGAAAGCTAGTTTTTATTAAAACTCGGCCCTTCTGTATGCTCAGCCAGATTAGTCTAGATTCTGTCCAGGTGGTAGAGAGGTATCACGTATTTACTTGATATTATTATAGCGGGTTTACAGACAGCTCTGAGCATGATAGAAGAGCTAAGGGCTACTAGCATTATTTAGCGGACATGCCGCCTAGCAGAAGTAAAAAGACGGAGCCTTAAGTACCCGCGAAATCTAAACAAAGAGATGAGCAGATGGCCGAAGTATTAACAATCAATGCTCACTGGAATTCCGACACTTTCCCTCCCCATCCACTCCAGTACAGTAACCTTCTTTCGTCTGTGAGTATACCCCCAAAACAATTATTTTCTCGATTACTTTATGTGTTGTTTGTCAAGGTGCTTATTTGCTACACATTGGCCACTTTAACATTAATTTATAGGTTCATGTTATTTACAAGGCTGGCAATAAATCCCCCTCTTTTCGCCTCCTTTCCAATGGAATGGCATTCAAGGTATCAAGGGAGCTTGGCGTTTGATACTTTACATGATCGCTTCACCATCATTTCGGCGTCCACTGGTACCAAGAGGTCATTGTGACCATTAGTGACCAAAACAAATCGACCAATTCTAAACATGTTTTGCGGATTACTTAACCTTACTCAAGATAATTAATTGAACAATATGCTAGTAAGGAAGTGACAAACCAAATTTAATCTTAACTCTTTGCCGCTCCTAATCTAAGTCGGATTTAAACATTCTCAGATGATACCTTATTTCCTCTACTTGTACTAAATTTTAGCACATGAAATGTCTCCTAAAGTCGGAAGAAGTCATTATGATAAGGTGAAAAATATATTGCTGACGTACAGTAGGGCTCTGAGGATCCTAGAAGTCATGCCACACATTGGTAGTAAAGTGGTGGAGACGTCTACCTCCACGCAACCAAAACATGAAGTTAAACAAATAATGATGATGGCACAAAAGTTCATTCAAGTACTTTTGCACAAATCTCTTACCAAGTTTAATAATAAAGTTAGCTCTACTTAAGGCAGCAACTCAAAAGAAAGTGGTGTTTCGATACCCCTGGTACCACCGCAACCCAGAGGTGCTATTATTGTTATTATATTAATTGCAGTAAGGCACAGTCACCCTCAGAGCTTAACAGCAGTCTGCATCTCACTTGGTGCTTAGAATCCAACCAATCTCTTCTTGACACTCTGCCATAAACAACTGCCATCCAGTGACAAAAGGACAAATACCACTTGGTTTTTGAAGTCGTACTGCGACAAACCGAATTAGAACGTTGCATACGTATTCGTAAATACGTGTATTTTGACCTCATTTGCTCCACATAAATTGACATTAAGAGTTTGCAAAGAATAAGGCTTGACTAGTTGAGTGAGATTATTTTTTGTCTTTGAAAATATGTAATGTTATATTTCCTCTGGTGGAATTTATTACGATAAAGTTGAAATCCAAACTACGCAGATGGCTAGAATAGAGGGGGCTAGGTCTCGTTACCTCACGGAGCACCAGGCTGCCAGAGAAAATCCAATTAGGGGCACAATTCGCAGAATAGCTCATTTCCCTTTCTCCCACGACATTCCACACCCCATCAACGCAAATTTGCGTGACTCTCTAAACGCAATTAAGCGTTTCAAGCTCTTCATCGAGATTGGACAAAAGGCGTGGAAAAATAAAGCATATATATATGGGAGTCGCTTAAACAGGTAAATGTTTTGGGATGTAAAAAGGGTGTTATTTTGAAACGAAGGAGAAAAAACCGTTTAAAGCCTTTGTTGTAACTCTCAGTACCCCTCGACTCCCCCATTGAGAGGGAGGAGTGCTGGAATGTTACTTCAGAATATGTGAGGGCTATATTTCGGGACACGATGGGATTTTGTCGTTCGTGGGATAAGAACCGGGACCCTTATAATCAATGAATGGAATTAAGCTTGAATTTTGCAAGTCTTCCTATTAACCACCCCTAGATGTTAAAGATTTACCCCTACTTTCGCTAATTTTCACTTGTTTCACTGATTTATGCATTTGATTAGCTGATTTTAAGCCATCAGGTATTTTATTGATAGTATTTTAGGTTTTAGAATGACAGGGGTAAAGTAATTCGTTTTTATTTCTATTTTTGCCATCAAAACTCGAGACAGAAATAAATGTCTTTCTGACTATCTGAAAAAGTAACATACGTGAAGCCTCCAAAAGCACTGTCTTCTGCACTAAAAGTTGCATAAAATAGACAATTTTGCGGGAATGAATAAAAATACCTTCGGCTACAAGCAACTTAAAAACCAGGTATCCTTCTTGAAAGTAACATGGAGTGTATTAATCTTATAACCACTTGCAATGTAGGCACATTATATCAACTGAAACGTGATTTGATTTTGTGTAAAAGCGCACTTGGTGACGTGGCTGCTGTTCTTCGAGTCTTTTCTGGAGTTGAATGAAGAAGGAGAAAAAAAAACAAAAAAGAATATATATTTCTGATGCAGAGAAGGGTTGAAAGGCTACTGGAGTGTTTGGAGGGGAGCATAGCGTCCAGCGAATGCACTTATGTGGAGCCTTAAAGGCCTGCAAAACGAAAACAAAGAGTCGAGCTTATGCCAGCATTTAGCCACAAACAATCCCTCCCAGTCATAATTGTCTGCCCAAAATAAACAAAGAGTTTAAAAAACAATTAAATATTTAGTAAATGTATTTTTATTTATTTATTGAATCAGGTGGGAATATGCAATACACTCCCTATATCTTAGGGAAACAGCATTGGTGTTGACCATTTAATTAAGTAGATGCATTGCGAACTGTGGATAAATAGATTCATAATATAGTTAATTTGATATTTTCTTGAATTCCGACATGGAATCATTACACATGACAGAGACGATGAAGGGTTTTGCCATTCCACTATCATTAGTTGCCGATCACGCTGATTTTGTGATTCCATCCTCCCTATCTGACACCTGATCCAACATTTTGCATTCGGAAAGGAGTCCCGTAAACTTCATTGTAGATGGAACAAGTATTATAAAAGTCGGTGATATACAAGTCATGTCTTCTCATCCGTCTACATCACATTCCAAGGATCACTATTGATATTGTGTGCCTCTCCCGACTTAGGAGATGGTAATCAGATTTTAAATCAAAAGAGAGGGAAGTTGTTTGTGCTAAAGCCAGGCCATTCTTCGTCTAAAACCAACGCAATAACTTGCATAGCTTTTGTTGGTATTTAACCTCAAACAATCCTCCCCAGACACTCGGGTTTGACCTCCTTGAGATGCTACCTTCCTCTATTTCAGTGCTATTTCTGTCTGCAAGTGCAGGACCTCGTCTTTGTATGGCATTGATGAAGACCAGCGGTATATTTTGTGCAGTCGATTTAAAAAAGTGCTTCCAGGTGGAAGTCAACCTGTAAGACAGTTTGATCAAACTATTAGATTGGACATTTATAAGTGCCTAAATCCACTGAATCTTCTACCGCTGTAGTCAAAACCTAATTACCGTATAAGTGACACAAGTTTTGGGTTAGAAATAGCAACAGGCTAAGTTGGAGCAAATAACTCTACCTTTTTCGTGATTAAGTTTATAAGCACCCCAGTCAACATGACATATTTTCTAACAATTTTCCACTTTCTCCAAATTAATATTCCTAAGAAAAACCGCTGTGCAAGCTATTCATCGGTAATGTTCCTTTTTCAGAATTCATCTTCAACTACAATTTCTCCTACCCTCATTTCATTACATGCCTAAGGCAGCAGCTCTTGCTCCTTGTCACAAGAAACCTTCTCAACCAACCTTGGTTGTCCTTTAAATTTGAATTTGTCAACACAGCCTGAGTGACTACAACACTGCCGCTAAGCCTGGTTGACATAAATTAGGCGAGCCTTTTAAATGGCTGTTACTGCTGATGTGTATGCTTGCTCTTAGGATTACCTGATTCCGAGAGCAAGGCAAAGTGACCAGTCTGAAAACTCACAGTATTCCACTTGTAGCTCAACAACAACGAAATTAGGTGATTCGTGAAATTTATTTACCAGTTAAATAATTTATGGGGTATGGTTGAACCCTGGTGTGACAATCAAACTACTCTCCCACCCCCGCCTCTGCTCCCTGTCAGCCTATCTACGCAACATAACCAACCCCTCCAAATTGCTCTTCGTTCTCAATAGGTGTGATCACCTACGGGCCTCACGCCAGTTCTACAGACGCTTTTAATCTACTGTTTTACACATTTCATGGAGGTTCACAGAAATGATCGTCGTGTTATGGATGTGCCGCGAACCACCACGGTGGACACCGTCACTGACGTTCAGATTCAGAGATGTGCGGTCACACTGCACACGCTGACACCGTTTAACTGTCGTAGTAAACTTGAGTAACTGAGTCCACATCCCTCAGCAATCAGAGTAACCTACCCTATTTGACCGTGCCGTATCGACTATACGAGAAGAGATAATTCCGACTGCGATCAGCCGATTGAGCACATCTCTTTACGGATCTGGCAAATTTGCATTTTGAATTTAGTGCATTATCGGATGACCTGTAGCACCGCAAATACTTTCCTTGCATGCAGACCTCCTTAATGATGGGAATGAATTACAAGGGTTTAGCAGTGGATTTCAATGAAGCTCAGCAGATGATGTACACAGATGGCTAGTTGCTTTGATCTGTCATGTGACCCCAAACATCGACTGCTTTGTATCAAAAACACAGTTATCTCTCGTTGTCACAATTCCACAAAACTTTAAGGAATACCAACCATAAAAATAATTAACCAGGAAGCAGATTTAGTCCCACTCGTGAACATCAAAAAAGGCCCTCATTGAGTATCCCTGATTCCGTCAGTTTCGTCTGTGAATGCATTGTCAAAGAAGGTACTTCGCAAAGCATTGTGTGAGTCTTTGTTGTTCCTGTATCAGAATTTAGGACGTCACCCACTTTGCATTTGAAGTCATGCAGAATCTCGGTTAATTTGTTCTCAGGGTGGTGAAACCTTCCGCACAAATGGATAGTTAATCACACTTACTTGTTTGGATACCACTTCACATAAAAATGTGATGGTACTATCTCGTCTAAAATCAGTGTTTGCAAGAAGGAGAAGTTAATTTTCGGAAAACTACATACAATATTTCGTCACGGGTGATGTAAGAGCCAGCAGTTGATTCATCGCTGAATTTAAAAGCTGAGTGAAATAAAAAAAATGGAGGTAGGGGAACCGTACATATTCCTTTTTCTAAAAGTGTAAATCACATCAAATTAGCGACTCACTTTTTATTGTGGAAAATTAATTTACAACTTCTGCCTAAAGTAAGCCTTAATTAACTAGAGGCAATTATACACGGTAGTACTACCAGATCCAACAATTTCGAGGATGTTTAAGGTTTAACGCTACAAGGATGGAAGAGAATGCTGCTTTGCCGAAGCCCCTGCTAGACTTATCCCATGTCAGTCGTTGGCGCCTTGTGGATAAATGTGTAACTGCTATTTACTATTTTAACCTAAAATAAATCATTGAGAGTCAGATGGCTCTCCTTCGCAATGCTGTGAATTGATGCAGGTGGGCTTGTCAGTCTAAGTGGTTTCTATTTTTATCTTGACGGCGCAGTCCATCAGCCATGTTTGTGGCTTCTAACTCTATTTTACGAAATAATCACATTTCATAATGATTTGTCTAATTACAGCTTCAGAGACGACCCGAGGAGCTATACTTTAGTTTAAGGGTTATGAAGGACTCCATAGTGATAATAAAACTGACTGATAAAGCGCAATTGATTTAGGCTTTGATGCCAGACAAAACCCTCCACTTCCTATGTGTAGCGATTTAAAGCTCTCTCCTAATTTAAAGTCTCTACACACCTTCATCTGGCACATGTAACTGGTGAATGCAAAGACACCCCAAATAATCTATAAATACTGACTAATGTTAGCAAAGATATTAAAATAGGATACCGCTTTCTAAATTTTGAAAATACAAAATTAAACATTTATGGGTCTATAGTGTAAAAAGTTTTTTCTCTTATATAATGTCGGTAAAGCAAATGCAAAATATTCCATTGTCTCTCTGGCCGAGAGATAGGTTTTGAGCCATCCTTCCAGGCAATTGTACCAAATTTCTCCAAATCATTAATGCCTAATAAGTGATGATGTAAAGCTCAGGGGGTTTTTGGGTAATGCATATTCGTTGGTGCATAGGACACTTACCACCCCTCCGATAGTCACATTCAGCTCAGCCTGGGCCCAAGTGGTAGCAGGAGGTGGAAGGAAATGTACATCCATTGACAGACATGAAGTACACGCATCTTGATTCCATGAGTGGAGTCGCACACTATTTTCCATCTTCTTTCTAGCTGA